TTATGATGTGCCGTGTGGACATCATTGAGCTACATGACAGGTATATATGCATTCTTATGATGTGCCATATGGACATCATTGAGCTACATAACAGGTATATATACATCTTATGATGTGCCATGTGGGCATTGAGCTACATGACAGGTATATATGTATTCTTATGATGTGCCATGTGGACAGTGAGCTACATGACAGGTATATATGCATTCTTATGATGTGCCATGTAGACAGTGAGCTACATGACAGGTATATATGGGTTCTTATGATGTGCCATGTGGACATTATTGAGCTATATGACAGGTGTATATGCATTCTTATGATGTGCCAAGTGGACATCATTGAGCTACATGACAGGTATATATGCATTCTTATGATGTGCCGTGTGGACATCATTGAGCTACATGACAGGTATATATGCATTCTTATGATGTGCCATGTGGGTATTGAGCTACATGGCAGGTATATATACGTCCTTATGATGTGCCATGTGGGCATCATTGAGCTACATGACAGGTATATATGCATTCTTATGATGTGCCATGTGGACATCATTGGGCTACATGACAGGTATATATGCATTCTTATGATGTGCCATGTGGACATAATTGAGCTACATAACAGGTATATATACATCCTTATGATGTGCCATGTGAACATTGAGCTACATGACAGGTATATGTGTATTCTTATGATGTGCCATGTGGACACCATTGAACGACATGACAGGTATATATGCATTCTTATGATGTGCCATGTGGACATAATTGAGCTACGTGACAGGTGTATATGCATTCTTATGATGTGCCATGTGGACATCATTGAGCTACATGACAGGTATATATGCATTCTTATGATGTGCCATGTGGACATCATTGAGCTACATGACTGGCTTATATACATCCTTATGATGTGCCATGTGGGCATTGAGCTACATGATAGGTATATATGCATTCTTATGATGTGCCATGTGGACATCATTGAGCTACATGACAGGTATATATGCATTCTTATGATGTGCCATGTGGACATCATTGAGCTACATGACAGGTATATATACATCCTTATGATGTGCCATGTGGGCATTGAGATACATGACAGGTATATATGCATTCTTACGACGTTCCATGTGGACATCATTGAGCTACACGACAGGTATATATGCATTCTTATGATGTGCCATGTGGACATCATTGAGCTACATGACAGGTATATATGCATTCTTACGACGTTTTATGTGGACATCATTGAGCTACATGACAGGTATTTATGCACTCTTATGATGTTCCATGTGGGCATTGAGTTATATTTTAAAAGGTATATAGTTAAACCGTAGTGTATGTAACAAATTATATAAATATATATTATTTACAATTACTTATCATTCATGACATAGGAATCTTTACAAATAATTTATTCATCAAAATAGTGACATACCTGAAGTGGCGCCAGGTAATCCCAGATGCTTACATGCAACATTTCCATCATCAAAATCCCATTGTCCTAGATCACTATTTACCCCAACCCATTTACCAATCAGTTCCACAAATAACTGCAATGTACCATTACCAGCAACGTATTGTGGACCATCTAACCTTGCCGAAACTGAATTATAGTACATGTAAATTACGCGTTTTCAGCGTGTGTTGTTATCGTCCCTTGGGACTCAATTCCTGCGCGTGCGCAAGTGACGACCCTCCCGCTTTAAGTTTTCACAATGAATCACATATATTTAAACGTCAAATTAAATGAAGCATACACCTCATTTATTATGTGAACATCAGATAGCCAACCGAGGAGACGTCACCTGCTCACGCATCAGATGGTCATAGCGTGTCGTTGTTTACAAACAAGCGTCTACCCATGAGCCTTTGCGTTTTGGCGTGCGTTGTTATTGTCGCTATTGACACAATTCCCGCGCGTGCGCAGGTTACTACCCTCCCGCTTTAAAGGCGAGTAAGTACTACTAAGTAACATCTACGTCTTTTCATATTGTTGTTTCATTTTCGCTACATGAAAACGAATATTGATAATGAGTTGTACAGATTGAAAAGCGGGCGACAGAAAACATATCACGCAGACACCGTCCCTCGAGACACAGTGATACAAACAATCTGTGTTGCTGGCTGCATAGATGCTATACGGTAAGGTCATGCAATACGTTGGTTCCTAGTTGGCATCTGAAAAGCGGCTTGTTACGGATTGTTACGATTCGTTGGTTAATTATCAACCCCGCCGATTTTCAGAATCACGTGACGCTAAAACAAACACAATGTTCACAAAATATTAATAATAGAATAAGTACAAGTCAAGGGCTTTCTAAACATATAAAGATTGTATGGTTTTTTTTGTAAATTTTATTCCAATTATAGATGTTTACATTTGTCATGCCAATAAAATACCCTGCTACCTTAATGATTTATTCATTGCTTCACGCAGCTTGAATGTCAAACTAAATATCATGCAAAGTGACACTAAATAATAGTAAAGAAGACATAAACGACTTTCAGCAACAAGTGTTCATTAATTAAAAAGTCAAAATTGGAATAATAATGTCAAAATAATCATGCGTACAATTAATCACTTTTCATAAAGATATGTTGGGGGCGAAACCCGTAATATTTGGTGTTGTTCATTGAAAACATCGGAACACACCAAATGTCCGTGTTTTATTTTCAGTCACGGTGAAATCAGCTCCACATTTGTAGAAATTGATTGACGTACTAGAAGAGTTTATGAAAGTTAAAATAATTCAAATCAGTCAAAAGGGGCATAGAGCACTGCACGAGTAGTTTTTGCGTTTCCAGAAGGACGAATAGAAGCAGGAAGCTATCATACACATTATTCCACAGTAGCACACACATGATAGAAAAGTAACTATTTATAATTTGGTTTGTTTTGCCAATAGCTAAAGTGCCAACGTTTGGTTCAAAATCACTAATTCAAAACTGTCGTTCACCCCAATAATTGTCCGGTATCTGAAGTCTGGCTATTCACAGGCCATCTATTAGCATTTTGGCGCGAAGCTAAATTAACGAATCACGGGTTTAGGCACAATCCGCTTCCCAAAGTAACAAGATTTTCCACAACAATAAAATTTACAGCGAGCGCAAGATATTTACACACACCTGTGTGTGTAACTTTATTGCGTCTACAACGGTCATTGAAGTGTCTAGGAAAGTGCCTTGGGATGTTGCAAACTCCCTCGGTAATTGCCTTCCGGATGCTAGAGTTAGGTGTATGTAAAAATCTTGCGCCCTCTGTAATCGGGAATATTCAGCAAAAATCTGTCAGGTTGTCTTTATTTCTCAATTGTGATTTTAAGTTACATGGGTTCCAAACATGTTCTCCACTGTGATGTGACTCGGGAAATGTCGAGGATCAGTATTCCTAACAGTAACATGTGTAAAATTCATTCTGTTTAGTTTTAGTTTTTCTTTTTTAACCTGATACATGTAAATTTCATGATAGTGTTTGAAAAGGATACGGCATTTGATTATAAAGAATCATGCCATAATGATTTTATACTATTTGTTCCCATCATTTAATTCAGGTAAATTATTGTTAAAGGGCGGCAGTCGTCGCTCCGCGTCCTATTCGATATGGGACTCATAGCGACGTATACAACGCGTGTAAAATACATTGTTTATTTACATGAAATTCGAACACGCGCTGCGCGATGACCACCGCGCTTTAAAATTTAGCATTTTGAACATGTAAGCTAATACGCTGCAGAAAAATAGGTATTTAATCAACACATTATGACATTATAGCTGTGGTGCATTATACGATTGTATAGCGTCGTAACTATATATAGCTAAAATATTTAATTATTGGTTACTACGCCATTTAATATAATGAATAACATCAACCAAGCAAAGTAAATTAATTCCTGGGTATAAACTGAGTCTCAATCAATCAAGCATGAACTTAATTAAAACATAATTAGGTATCATCATGTTCTTGTTCACAATGTACACTGCAATGAAAATTGCTCAATCTATAATAACAATACCAGTAAAACGCGAACATAATTGTGTTCGGTAGGATGAAATACATTATATAACAACATAAATTTACCTTTGTCCAAGGATATAACAGGATATTCTGAAATGACAGAAATGATATTCAGATATAAATAAGTGTCATCTCAACGTTTATAGTCAAAGAATTATCATATGTTCATTATATGCATTCACGACTGTACACAAAGACAGCACAAACGCGCTAGTAGTTGTAATGTGGTTCAATTATAATACATACATTTCTAAGTAGTGTTTGTTACCTTCGGGAAAAGTCAAACATTTTTCAAATTGAATAGGATGTCCTAAACATCTATCTCTGGTCTGTTTGCGTACACAGTGTCTGTTTCTTTCACGATATCCCAAACCAACAGTAGCGCTGCAGTCACTCCAAGACGACCATATACTCCACGTATCATCGACAACTGTGCCACAATACAAGACAGAAATTGGTAGGTGTAATTAGAATTTAGAAAGTGTATTGGACTCCATTAGAATTACCTCGTTATATGCAAGCAATGTCAGAATTTAATGGCTTCGGCTGACTTCAAATCTATGTAGCGAGGCGAGGACAGTTCAAACTGACCTAGTCTGGTAAACGTGACATATTATATGTTGTTCAAAATATTTTTCAAACAAAATAACAAATATATCCTAATATATTACATACCAGGAATGTTACAATTCGTTCCTGTGAATCCATCTACAACGCTGCAAGTACATCTATATCCATCATTCGGCAGTGCAACACACCATCCATGGCTATTGCAAGGGTTGTTAGAACACGGATTTTGTGAAGACTAGAAAAAATAAACTTCTATTATTTCTAGTCATTGCATGCAAATACACACTTTTTTTTAAATTATGAACAACCCAATCAGTCAATCAATCAATCAATCAATCAATATTTTGTAATATTTTGTATGACAGTGTAGCGCAATAACAGTGTATGATTGATGTGAACGAATAAGCAGCCCAACTAGCAGTATTGCAATACAAAGGATCAATATTGATATACCATTATAATCAACAATATTAAATCAGACGATCCCCAGTAGCTAGTATTGCGGGTTGATAATATGCAAATAACACAAGGATTGTCGTGACAATCCTTGTGTTATTTGCACGATATACCATTACAAATTTCTATTTTGTTAGTAACACATTGAGTTATATTGTATCACTGCTGACTGTGTTGCGTTTTCGTTCAAAACTAAACTGAACTTAAACTGATCATGTGATGCGTTTCCGAATATTTACCTCTAGTGGTGTATAATTCGGGACATTATGTGGTTTATTTTCAACAAACCAACCGTTTCCGTATGTAGCACCGTCTCTATCATTTACATCTTGGTTGTACATTTCGCAAACTTCACTTTTGTATCTGACTGACTTGCACGCGCTTCCGTAGATGACACAGGCATACATACAGGCGCGTGCGTTCGGGGAACCAATAACTTTCGTTGGCATCGTATTCACCGATATAGTTGTACTTCCAGTAGTGAAGCTCAGTTTAACCGTACATGCAACAATGAAACCACATATACATAACCAAGGCGGCGATAAGCACATCATGGTAACTGAAAACAAAATAAAAATACATTCTAGAATAAAATACATGCCCGTAATTATATTACATACGTAAGCCGCTGCTGCTTATATTTTACTCTGCATTCTGCTGTCAATTTAGAAATTCGAAAAGTGAGAATGATCCTCGTTCATATGGATAGCTTACCTTGTGAACGTCAGCGGGGTGACAGATAACAGATAATGTGTTAATGTAATTGTACTGAATTGTAATAAGATTTCATCAGTGAATAGACGTCGTCACGATAGTATCACGTGACCCGCGATGTAATTTATTTAAACACATAATTACTCCCCGGTACTCATAATGAACGAAAGCACACTTTGCATGACCTAGCGAGGCGTAGTCGAGCACATTATGGAGTGCAAAGCGTGCTTTCATTCATTATGAGCCACTGGAGAGTACATTATTGCTATTATTTTGTTGCATTGGCAATGCCAGTGAATTTTCACATGTTAAAACTAAGATAATTTGGAAGAATTAACGGCGACCGAAAACATTTAACATAACAGAATCATGTAACAGAATTTTGAAGGTCTTCAAAATTGGTGGCCTAACACATACTCCCCATTTAGTCTGCTGTGGAGTATTTTTTTATTTCATTTCTTGCATTTTCGACCACTGGGATTCGTCGACATCGATAAAACGAGCCATGGTGTTTGCCTTTGGTGAGCTACGTTTATTTACGCATTAGACGTCGGTACCGGGTACGTGTTTCCGGCGAAGTTGGAATTGGCCAGACGACGATTTGTGTTTGTCGTTATGGCGGGAATGACATTTTTCATGTAAACTAAGAACAAATAATTATTTTTCATATAGCAATGTAGACACACCCTATTATAGTGATATATCCCTAATAGGGTGTGTCTCCATCGCCCATTAAAATTTGCATATAACATTAGCGCGTAACAAAGATTGTGATAAAGGAAAGAGTGGTATAAACTAAGATCAGTGATTACTTGAAAGTTATATAACATTTTATTATTTAATAATTTATTAAAATACATAAGTTTGTCCAACTCCCTGTGATATTACCATTTGCGTGTGAATTACGAGTTTCAAGTTCCAAGGCGTGTTCTCTGGTTACTAGTAATAACAACAATTTATTAACTCATAACAACCTACTGAAGGAGGTTAAAGGTTACAACAACAGCAAAAATGACACATACAAATTAATCAAATTACAATGGCTAATAATTTAAAGACAACCAAAAGTCAATGACTAAGTAGGTGCTGCTGTCTAATAGCAAAGCTGTATTTCAGATATTGTGCCAGAGGAATTGCTAAGTTATTATTTGACATTATTTTTATGAATTTATTTTCAGGTGTGAGATTAGTAAAGTCAGGAATAATCTTTTCAGCTTCATTGTATAAAACGACCCTCTCTTTACTATATACTGGGCATATTATGAGGAAGTGATGTTCATCTTCAATATCATTTTTATTACATAATTTGCAGATTCTGTTGCTACTTTTGATTCTGTTGTGTCTTCCTTTTTCAATTTCTAAACTGTGATTGCTCAGTCTGAATTTAGTTAGGGTACTTTTCAGTTCTTATTTTTTTAGCTTAATTAAGTAGTTTTCCAAAATGAAGTTTGTTTT